TCAGACACCATCAGCAACAACTTACTGTGGGAGAAAACAAACCAGATTCCAGTGGATGAGGAAATCAGGAAGAAGCGGTGGAAGTGGATAGTATACACACTGCGAAAAGCACCTAACTGCATCACAAGACAAGCCCTCACATGGAACCCTCAAAGTCAAAGGAAAAGAGGAAGGCCAAAGAACACATTACGCCGAGAAATAGAGAAAGATATGAGAAGAATGAACGAAAACTGGAAAGAACTAGAAAGGGAAGCCGAGGACAGAGTTGGTTGGACAAAACTGGTCGGTGGCCTGTGCTCCCTTAGGGGTAACAGACGTAAGTAAGTAAGTAAGTAAGTAAGTAAGTATTCCAAACTGACGAAAAACAATATTTATCGATTATTCCACGATTTTCACTGATGCTAAAGAAGATAGACGTATTAATTACTCCATGACATTAACTGCATTCATACAAATCGTTTAATTTGTCAAATTAAGTGGCTGCTTTGAATTTGAAGTAGTGCTCACCCCTTTAGTGGCTTCGTTACCTGACTTTCATTATTTAAAAACAACTAAATATACTACGAAATAAATTTTTCCTTCGATTCCCGTATACCACACTTAGGCAAGCCCCATTCACCCGATGGAGGTAATAAAAAACCAAATATGGTTTTGCGGATGAATTTCTTTCATGCAATCATTCACTCTGACAGAGATATGAGAATAAGATGTGTAGAAGAGGCAAAGCGAAGCGAATTGGAGAAGGCAAGTGAACCAACTCAATGCGATGAGGCGTATTCATATTTAGACGAAATAGGCTAGAAAAGCAATGCACACACACTGCACTCAAATAATAACAACCAAGATGATAAGTGAATAAGTGACAAGGTCGAAAGATGATGATTCGTGTAGAAAAGGTTAATTAGTTTGTCTGAAAGCTGTGATACACAAGCATGTGGGCTCAGCATACTGATAAACGTACAAAACATATTTGTAATGTCAAGTATCAAATCGGACAAGATCATAAATTGCCATGAATAATTATCATGTAGGCTTAGCTGAAACCACTAATCGTTATTGGTTTCCTCAGAGACTTCCATAAAACACTTGTTTCGTTATTACTTTTTCTCATTTTAAATGACTCTATTTGCACACCATCTTTGAGTCGTGACTTCCAACGCTCCGTCCTTCTTCCAATCCTGTTGTTGCTTCCTTCCCTTCCTGTTGGTATTCCATTCATTTCTTGCTTTTGCTCCATTTGCTTCCCGTTTTCCTCTTCTGACCGTGAGACTTCTTCTCTCACGTCCCTTCTTATACTACTTATATCGTTCGTATAAGTAGCACACACCACAGTTCTTGTCTTCATTGTCAAAAAATAAAATACACACGGAAGCTTTTCATGCTTCATTTGTTAAATGATAATCTACAAATTATAATCTTTATTGTTGTGAATGTTTATTGATTGAGCCAGTGAAACATTGAATATCAAGTTTCTGATTCTGAATTCACTATATATATAAGTCAGGGTTATCGAATATGAAATTGGCGGCTATTAATTGATAATGATTGTTGACATACTCGCATTGTGGTGCGAGCTACTTATAAGTAGTATATGACGTGAGTGTCAACGTAATGTCTGGCAGCAGAAGATGGGGGAAGATCAAAAAGAAAGGAAGAGTTAGAACACAATGGAATTTGTATGAAACGCATGAATAGTGACAATGGATTGATGTTTTGCAACAGGAACAGTCCAGTTCGATATGATGAACTGATATTTTGCAAATTAACGATTTACGATATGGTTTTCCGATTTTACTGAGTAACTCTGTAATTTTCGTTAAGGGGTTTGAGGACGGAGGTGTGCAGGGCTTCTTGAATGAGTTTGAGGCCGTGGCGGAGCTGGTGGGCGTGAAGGAAACGAGGGCGAAGTTGGTGATGCTGGGGACGCTGCTGAGAGGAAGGGCAAATGCCGTATATGACAGCTTGGACGGTGCTGGCGGGAAAACGCCATGGGAGACGGTCACTGAGCGGCTGATGGCCGAGTTCGACAGCCCGGTGGACAGGGAGGAAGCGTTGCAGAAGTTACGTTTGGCGAGGCTGTCGGTATTAGTAAAGCGGTTTAATGTGTGAATAATTAAGATGCATCTTTTTCATTGTTGTAAACTTACATAGCCTTTAATCATGCAGACACTTACTGTTTAAATGATCAACAAACCCTGTCAGACTAGCTTTCTGATGAAATATTCAATAGACTGAAATTCTGTCACAATGAAAATTATTCAATGTGAACAACATTTTGATTATTAGGGTTATGGAGATTGTTTAGATCATGAATCGATCAGTGTTAGACTACCATTAAAAACACGAAAGCACTGGACGGCCGTTTCGTCCTGACATGACACTCATCACTTATGCACACCGACAGTGCCAGCACGCGGAAGGCCAACCCAGGAACTTCGGTCACGTGCGTGAACGCTTAACCTCTAGACCAACGGGTTGGAATTCAACGGTGTTAATGTTTGACTTCGATCAATCCACGGTTTCGCGCAACATCATCCACTGTGTTCGGTCAGCACTGCTTCACACCCTACAGGATTGATCTCCACTGGTCTCGGCTCCTCACTAGAACTCGGAGAAACTTTCTCACGGAACTAGTCACTGGTCAGCATGTGATAATTTTCATTATGAAGATTGCTTAGTTACTTTTAAATGATGAATCGACCAGTATTAGACTGCCAATAGATACAATTGATCAGGTGTGATAATTTAGGTCAATACACATCTGTGTCAAGCTCTATGTTGATTAGATTTATGTGTCTAGTAACATAAACCCTCTAATATCAAATAATTTTGACGAATTAAATTATCTACTACTTATTTCAAAAAGTAGTAGTATTGCCAAATTTAATAAACTTTTTTTTTCAAATAATTATATATCCCATAGTATTTTGAAAATACCTCACCGACTGAAGAATCGGTCACTTTGAGAAAACCAAGATTTTTAGAAAAAATTGAAAAACCAATACCACGTCCAGTAACACCAGATTGTGTATCAGCAAAAAGTGTAAGTTTCATGTAAAATGCAAATATTTTTTTGCTTTGATCCCCTTCTACCTACCTAATTGGTTGGTTGGTAATAAACGCTAAGCGATGTTGTTGTAAATGGAAATGAAAATAAAGTGTAATGGCAACAAGCACCAGTAATCCAGGATCTCTCTCTGTTATGCATGCACGTGACCAACGACATTTAATATGCTTTTGAATTATTACGAGTTTACCTCTGTGTCGGAAAATGAGAGCGAGGATCCGGCGACACGACAGGCTACTCTAATTCGAACGTCCAAAAAATCCTAATGAGTAAAAGAAGAAAATTTGATATGAAGTAGAACTTGTATTCTACAAGAATCCAGAAAGTACGAGGTTCGAGTCGAGAAGAGGATTAGGATCTCCGGACTAGGGATCCAGGCCTGGGTCATAAAACGTTACAGACAGTGCATATTTATACAGTTAGATTGAATAGGAAACATCATTGAACCCTGTTATACTGATAGTCAGGACGAACAATGGGAATTAAGCAATAGGATAGTTGATGAATATCCTCTAACAAACACTCTCACTCTTGGTACTTGGTTGAGTGAGACACACGCGATGTTCATTAATAAATGGTTGTGCAAGCCATATGACGTAGCTCATTTTCTTAATTTCTTGAAAATAAAACATCAAGACTAAAGAAAGTACCCCATTCAATGAGAAAATGTTTACACTTTATCTTCTGACTTCAATGTATACCGATCCTCAAAACACTTTGATCGTTGTATATTACTTAGAACCTATATTACAAGTAGTATCCACCACAGTAAGAAAACTAACGTTTTGATGCTAATGAAGTTAACCAGTGTAATTAAGGATAAGATATTCATGATGAAAGTTTATTCATTATTTAGTAAGTAAGAAAATTGATATTTTTTATCTTAAACTGCAATATGTAAGGAATAGCTTTGATACACATTATCTAAAATTCACTCAAAAGTCACTCAAAATACTTAGTCTTTTGAAAGGAAAATTCTACGACTTACGTTTTGAAAGAACTTACACCTGTTACCCTAAATGAAGCATAGGTCGCCGACTAGTATTCTCCCACCTACTCTGTCCTGGACCAACCTTTCCAGTTCTGTCCAACTGTTGTTCATTTTTCACATTTCTGTCTCCATTTCTCAGCGTGATATTTTCCTCGGCTTTCCTCTTTTCCTTTGACCTTGAGGGTTGCAAGTGAGGGCTTTTCTTGTGACACAGTTGGAAGCTATCACTTTCTCATGAGATTAAATCAAGTATTGTTGAATCTTATAGGAAATACGATTCCGTCTCAAGAAGCCAATTTCTGTTGAAATCTCCTTATGTTACGGCTTTAGTATTATAGTTTTATTTCAGTCAAGATATACCCAACAAATCACATAGTAGGAGGAGAAAAACGTTTTCAGGATTTAACTGCTGGTTTACACATGGTTACGAAATCTCAGCACGGATACAGAAGGCTTAATTGGCTTTGACCAACTTGCGTCACCTATAGCGCAGGCAAGATATCCGTTTGCTAACCAAAAGACGACTGTACTGCGCAGCTGTTCGCTGCGTCATACCTTATGGCTGTGAAACATGGCCAGTCAGAGTAGAAGATATTCAAAGGTTACTGGTATTCGATCATGAGTGTCCCAGAAGCATTGCTAGTGTATCCTGGGACACTCGAGTAAGCAAAGCTGTCGTTAAGAATCGAGTACTAGGTAGGGATGGCAAATCAATAGACAAAGGAAGTATTGTAACTTCATCACTTGAGGTAGTTATACGTATACCTAACCACCGACTGCCGCAACGAGCTATGTTTTGCCAAGTAAGAGTAGGTTGGAAGAAAGCTGCTGGTGGTCAAACCATAACATGTCACAAATCTATGAAGTCACTGACAGCTGGACTGAGTCATGTTGGTAGATGTAGGCTACCTGGTTGGGGTCCGTGAGACAATGGTAACCGACAGTTAGAGACCTTGAACAACATGGCTCAATCGTTTGCAAGGGTGCAGGTGCATCCACTCTTTGTGTTCTCACAAATTCTAAGCTCCTTTATTCCTCATCATCTCCATCTTTCTATTTCTAAATTTATCTCACTGAATTATACTTCTCGAATCCAATCTTCGAACCCTAATCTTTCCTATTACCAGTTATACTTCTACTATCTCTACCAGTATGGTATTTGAGCTGGGATGTGCGTCTCTGTGCTGATGTGGTATGGCAACCTGAACTTACGTACTCATGTACGAAGTTCTACGTTGTAGCTGACTGACTGGCTGACTTGTGAAACAAAGTAACTTTGTCTTTTCGGTAAAAGTTCGCACTATTTTCATCTCACTGTAAAGTCAACCGAATAATAATTAAAAATTAGTGAACATCAAATAAATATTTCATAACTGTATAATACCTTTTCAATGATATCATTCTCATTTCAATGAAATCAAGAATCAATCATTGTTAGACTACCCCATTAGGAACCTATAAACACTGCTGGACGACTGTTTTGTTCTAGAATAGGATTCATTGGCAGTGTGCATCTATGACCTCTATACTCGTTGGAATCAAGCCCAGGTCCTTTCGATCTCACGCCCGGACGCTTAACATCTAGCAGTTACTGTCTAACAACCGATAGAACAGGAAACCAACGTGGACTGGACAGTATCTAAATTTCGGCAGTTTTTGTCCACTGCACAATATAAGCGAGGTTTGGTAAAATACCTCTTCAACAGAGGGCTCAAAGGATTTGCACCACACGGATACATTTGACGACGATGCAAAATTCAAACGGCTATCGGCTAAAGTTCATCAATAGGTGTAGAAATCAGATATGACAAAAACCAGTTTTTCATTCTGCTGAGGAGAAGAAAAGTGTTTGTATCACTTTATACCTACCATTTAGAGGTGAAGCAAATGGTCTAATATTAAGACAGAGACTAAAAGCAGCCATAGAGAAAACATACAACGTTGCTAAACTGATTATCATTGAAAAGACCAAGTCCATGATTTCGCATATACCTACACGTTGCTCGAATGATTACATCCCATCCCATTGCATTTATCAATCTACATGTTTATGTGGACACACATACACATAAGGAGGAATAATCGGACTTTGCAATCAAGGGTTATGGAACATGTACCTAAGTGGCTTCAAAATCAGTTAACGTCAGATGAGCCGATTAGCGTTGGAAATAGAAAACCATGTTCATCAATCGCAAAACACATAATTGAGACAGGGCATAGGATTGACATCAAGACAGCCTTCAAAACATTGTATAGAAATGTTGAAGGACGAATTTCGAGGTTTCTGGAAGCCTTAACTTTTAAAAAATTAAACTCCCCCCTTATGTGTGCAGAAACAATTTGTCATAACCTTGAATTTACACTGGTAATCTTTAAGCCTAGGGTAATGTGACAATTTTCTTACCCTTTCTTATTCTTTTCATATTATGTTAATTTTCTCTCTCCTTTATTGACAATTATCACCTTATGTATATTTGAACTTTTATTTAATTGACCTTTTATTCATCTTCATATAAAATGCCTTGACAAGTGTACATATTTTTGAAACCATGAATCGATCAATGTCAGACCACCATTAGAAACCTGGAAGCACTGGACGGCCGTTTCGTCCTGGTATGGGACTCATCAGCAGTGCGCACTCACGACTCCTGCACCCCGCAGGATTCGAACCCAGGATCTTCGGTATTCTGCGCGAACGCCCTAACCGTTAGACCACTGAGCCGGTATCCAGCGGTGTTAATTTCTAACTTGATCAAATTCACGGAGTTGCGCAACCTCATACGCACTGCTGAGGAGTCCCATACCAGGACGAAGCGGCCGTCCAGTGCTTCCAGGTTTCTAATGGTGGTCTAACATTGATCGATTTATGGTTTCAAAAATGTGTAACTTAACAATCTTCACAACCCCGTAATGCAACTGTACGTACGTGTGACCAGATTGTTCGAAATGTATAGCGCAAATGCATCAATTACGTCTTCTCACTGTTCTATCAGAATTTATTAAAGGGATTAATTGTTTTAAATTATAATTTTTATAAAATCATCTCAATGAAACATTGTTTAGAAATAATTTACAAAAAAACGTACTTGTAATTAATTGTTCATTTGTTTTAAATACCAGGAAGAATCTGAAAGATGTGAATTAGCTACAATTATGCTGCAACAATTAATACGTGGACGTGCAATACAAACACAAATGTATGAAGGTAAAGAGAAACGTCGTGAATTAATCGCTGAATTAAGATCAACACATGCTTTGCTAGAAGATGAACAAGCTCAGAAAAAACGTGAAAAACTAACAATTCTAACAAAACAAGAAGATTTCAGTCATCTTATACATCAGGTGAATTAAGTTTATTATTGTTCTTTATATATTGATGTGATTAGTGTGTATGAGTTAATCCTGTGTAGTCACTACTTTATTTTATTAAGTAGTATATGATCTACGATAATAATTTGTGATAAGCAATAACAAACCATGCTTTGGATAACTTAAATTAGATATGGGATACAATGATTTAATGGGATCGGAAGTGTGATTGACATAGGAAATTGATATTTTCCCCAACCTTCTATGACATGTAATGAGATTTTGAGAAGGGAAATTACCATATTACTTGTTCAACTACGTGTTCATACAGTAAGTTATGTGAAACTTGATGTTAAATACTCCTTGATTGAGAGTCAACACAAGTTTGACTCTTAAAATAAATCATATTTTTTAAGCGGCCTACTGAATTCTCATCAGTTATTTTTGTGTTTTTACTGCTGAATACAAGTCGGACAAAAATACTGAATTCAGTGTTCCGTTTGATTGAAAGTGAATAATATGCGTTACTTTGAAGAAAGGATATTGATTGCTACTTAACATTCACTATTTATGAGTTGTTTTCAATTGATTTTAAAATATCATGCCATAAATATTCACTTTATTTGGTTATGTTTGCTACGTAATCACATAGTAAATGACTATTAAACAGGACAACTGGAAGAACACACTGTTTATGAAGAAAACAGTTGAAGAAGTCTTAACGTTCTCATAAGACACTAACAAGATACAGTGATATGTGATTACTGGTCTAGATCTTCGCCATTCGCATCCACCTAGACCTATCATTATAGAATAAAGCGTGTAGCAGAAGTCAAAAAGGGCAACTGTTTAAAGATATGGTTGAACCCTTGAACTCGATGTTTACATCGCTTTAATAGAATATGATAAAAATCTCAGCGTTATTATGACTTTGTGTTGTAACGCTATCTTAATAACTCCCAGCTCATTCCTATTGCTTAGTATTCTCTGACCACAAACACACTGGACAAGCTCCAAAATTCAGAACACGGTGGAACAGGAAAAGATTATATTCCAAAGAGCAAGGTTAAATGGAAATAAGAAGCCAAAAGCGAAGGCGAAGGCAAAGTAGATACAACGTTAATATCCTTATAGTGTTTTTACATGAGAAGCTTTTGGAATGCGATTCACGTGATTGACTATTACTGATCGGATCAGATTTAACCAATCAGCATGCAGCTAACAACACGAGAATTTTCTAGCCTGTTCTCCAACTATGGTCCAGGCGCTGATTGGATAGGAAATTAGCCAATCAGCGTGCAGCTAACGCAGTCATGCTTTATTCCATCTATGTTCTCCCTAACACTTTGTTACCACCAAATTCAAGTTATGCTTCTTATGCAACCAAGTTAACAAAAATATTTCATTGGTAGTATATAATTATCACCATTTGTGCAAAGCTGATTTTGTATCTCCGCTTCATTCAATACTTTCGTTGAAATGTAACAATCTAGAAGAATATTTTCGGCAAGTATAATTGTTGAATAGTATACAACATCAAAACTGGTGGTTCATTCCATATCTAGTAGGATTGTGGATTATTTGTCCTAATCTACCAGTCTCAAATCAAGATGAAATGGCTGTCTAATTCATCATCGTATTTGATATGGCTGTTTAGCTAAAGTCAATCTACAATGTAAGCTAAAAACTGATAAATCTCTACAAATGTTCGCTACCACTGGTAATGTTCATATTTTTACTGGTGAAGTAGTGAAAAACTATGACCAATAAAGTTCAACCATACATGGTGTGATTCATCTACCCACCAGTGGTATTCAGTAATGATTGTACAATAACATGTCTTGATCAAATTTGGAAAATGTACAACAATAAATGTCATTTTCAGTGATGATCATGAGCCTACTGAAACTCCTGAAGAAGTTGCTGGACTCGATCGCTGTGAATAGAGCCGTGAATATACATCACCGAGAAATTCCTTATACTCAGAAGTCACTGACAGGTGGACTGAGTGATGTTGGTAGATGTAGGCTACGTGGTTGGGGTCCGCGAGACGAAAGTCACCGATGGTTAGCGACCTTGAACGACATGGCTCAGAATCGTTTGCAATGGCGCAGGTACATCCACTCTTTGTGCTTTATGAAATTCTAAGCTTCTTCATTTCTCATAATCTCTACCTTTCTCCTTCTATATTTATCTTACTGAATTATACTTCTCGAATTATATCTTTGCTCCCTAATCTTCTACATTACTGCTAATACTTCTATTATTGCTGTCATTATTGGATTTGAACTGACAGTTGCGTCTCTGTGCTGATAGGGCATGGCAACCTGAACTGATGTACTTATGTACGAAGGTCTGCGTTGTATCTGTCTGTCTGTCTGTTTGTCTATACTCAGAATTAATAGCCATCTAATGCTATTTCATTTTCAATGATTGTAAATATGACATTTTTGGATTCGCTATCTCTATAAGTAAAATGAATTCACATCGACTTACAACCGATTAAATAATATTGGTAATCTATTTTCCTTCCTTCTAATAATAATAGTAATAATAATAATAATAATGATAATAAATATTATTGATTATTACAATTTTTTTTTTCATTCCAAAAGGAACATATGATAGAAGATATTTTAGGACAATTTGAATGTGATAGTTTAGCAAATATGTTAGATTTTCTAAGTAAAGAATTAGATCGTTTAATTGAAGCACGACGTATACATGCATTGATACTCATAGCTGAACGTCAACGTCGTATTCGTGAAGCCGAGGAGAGTGGTACACGTCAAAAAGAAGAACGTCGTAGACGAGAACAAGATGAAATTTTCAAACAAGTAAACAATTTTTTTTTTTGTAAAACTCAGCCAGCTTGGTGTTTTTATCAACCTGTTAGATGTTTGACTATTGAATTGTTCAGTTAAGATATTGTAGTGCCTCCACATATAATATTCCAGTTCGCTTACATCTAACTTAGTTAAGCCCTTTCGATTAATTTATTTAACCAAGCCAGTTGTGTACCATTCGTTCTTATTATTATTGTGTGGTTTGTATGAACTCACATGACATGACATGTCCCACTTGTTATTTGACCTTGTCAACTATTGGTCGCTTTTATGTATGTGTGTGCATGCCTATCTCGTTGATCACATGTCTGTCTTATATTTGTCTGACTATATATTCTTAGTCATGCTCTATTTCTTGGAGTTGGCTCGTTAGCCATTCTCCACATCGCTCCATCCGTTCATTCGCCTATTCACTCGCTTGCCTACTTTGCGGCGCTCGCATGATGATTTTATCTTATAGCGCTTGTTCATACGATTCGCTTCAGTCGCTCATTCGCTCGCCAGTGCACTACAAATGGTGATCTCGACGTCAACAAAATTGGCCGCCATAAATGGATTCACTCACTACAATATCTACATAGTAAAGTAACTTAATTCAATAATTTATAACAATGTGTTATGAATATGTTCATGTTATTGAATATTATTGAATTAGAATTTAAGAAAAGATTATTTTACTTATCTGTCAATAATGTGATTTAGTCAGTCATAGATTTCTAATTGAAGTCATGAATCAGTTATTGTTAGTAAAACAATAGTCTCTTTAACTTTATGATGAAAAATCATACCATGTGCTCATTAGTGAGTAGCTTCGAAAAGGAACTCTCGAAATTCTAGTGAGAAGCTGTGACCAGTCGAGTATAGGTAATTCCTACCTACCGAAGACATTCGACGAGATGGCGAGATACTTTGGATTTATTGAAGTTAGGACATTTACACCGTTGAATACTGGTTTAATGGTCTGGAGGCTAGGCGTTCACGTGCAAGACTAAGGTTCTGGATTCAACTCCTGCGAGTAGTAGTCATCGATGTGCATTGCCATTGAGGAGTCCCATACTAGAATACTCTTTCGTTTTTAATTAGTATAGCAAGTGATTACATGTTCAACTTATATCAAATAATCACTTCCGTGACAGATTTTTCATTATATCGACTGTGATTATGTGACGAATACACGTAAACATGTCAATTTGATATGCTTGAATTATTACGAGTTCACCTTAGTCGGAAAACGAGAGCGAGGATCGAGGGTCCAGGGACGCGACAAGCTACTCTAATCCGATTATCCTAAAACCCCCATTGAATAGAAGAAGACTTGATGTGAAGTAGAAAGTATCCGAGTACAGAACACAATAAGGATCCTGGACTAGGGTTCCGGGTCCGGGTCATAAAACGTTACAGACAATGCATATTTATACAGTTGGGACGACCAATAGGAATAAACCAATGGGAATTGACCAATAGAATTAGACTGACAAAATAATTCTCTTAGGTTATTGGATGAGAATATCCCGAACAAGATACAATTTTATTCTTGTCAATAAAAAAAGTAGCTTCTAAAAATACATTATTTCTTTAATATTTCTCATAAATTTTGATAAATAATCATTTTATTGTGAATATTGTCTGTTATTGTTTCTTTTGATTTCAAAATATAAAAGAAAACAAACTATATACATATATTTTTAGCTTGTTAAAGTTCATGAAGAAACAGTGGATAGTTATTTGGAAAATATCATTGGATTCACTGTAGACAGTACTGCTGATTATTTGGCTAAAGATGAAATTTCCAAATTAGCTAAACAAATGAATCTCAATGATGAGAATGTTTATGCACAACTTGATGAATTAAAAGCAAATGAATTAGCTGCTGAATTATTGCATAATTTCTTAATACCATTTGTAAGTGATGTATGATTGTCGATCAATATTCAATGTTGATCATTGTTGATCAATGACAATTGTTGTGTTCTTTTCGAAGTTGATAACATCAAGGTCCTGGGTTCAAGGCCTGCAGGGCGCAGGAGTCATGGGTGCTCACTGCCTCTGATAAGTGTCCCATACCAGGACGAAACGGCTGTCCAGTGCTTCCAGATTTCTAATGATAGCCTAACAATGAATGATTGATTAATGATTTCAATGTTTATTAGACCTGTTAAAATGTCTCTCTATACTCATTACTCTATGTGAGAGTGAACTTGCAATACTTAGATCTACACTGAAATCACTCAGGCGTATGAAATCCAGTGGTTCATATGTTAAACCATATTCGATCAACAATGAATTTCAATTTGTAAGGTTGTTTAAAGGCCCATTCAACAAACTTATGGCCATATATTTATGTTACAAAATCTGAATGTCTTAGTTCAGTAGTTGATATCATTTCATGATTAAAATTAGGTCGAAAATGAATTTTAATCGTCACAAGATACTCAAGTAATGTTTCTGTATAAAATTCTTTTGTTCAACTGATGAAAATAGTTGAATGAACTGGACAGTGGTTTAGGCTAAGATAAGTTCTTGAAATTGTATTTCTTGGAGTAAAGTTATATTTCATGCATGAAACTGTCAAAAGTTAAGTGGAAAATGAATGAAAACAATTCCAGTTGGATGAATTGTCAGGCTTTTTGTTCTATTGTAAACTGAGGAATTTCGAATCATATGAATACCTTCAGGTTACTGATTTCTTTTCATAGTGAGGAAAAATGCCTTTTGAATTATTTTTTAATATTTTACACATCGATTTGTTGGTTACTGGTGATTAGCATGGACAGGAAAACACTATGGAGGCTTCTTCGACACACTACGGTGTGCCTGAGAAGATAGTCAACATCACACAGAATTCTTATGATGGATTAAACTGCAAAATCGTGCATGGAGGTCAGCTGACTAACTCATTTGAGGTGAAGACCGGTGTGATGCAATGTTGCTTACTCTCACCCTTTCTCTTTCTCCTGGTGATCGACTCGATTATCAAGACGTCAACATCTGGAGGGAAGCATGGTATTCAGTGAACAGCTAGGACGCATCAGCCAGTAGATACAAGTATATATGAACAGTTGTCTTCGCAAAATACTGAGGACTCGTTGGTCAGACACCATCAGCAACAACTTTCTGTGGGAGAGAATAAACCAGATTCCAGTGGAGGAGGAAATCAGGAAGAAGCGGTGGAAGTGGATAGGACACACTGCGAAAAGCACCCAACTGCGTCACAAGACAAGCCCTCACATGGAACCCTCAAAGTCAAAGGAAAGGAGGAAGGCCAAGGAACACATTACGCCGAGAAATAGAGAAAGGTATGAGAAAAATCAGCAAAAATTGGAAAGAACTAGATAGGGAATCCCAGGACAAAGTCGGTTGGAGAAAACTCGTGGGCGGACTATGCTTTTCTTGCCTAATCAAGATCGAGGTTACTAGAACAAGCTACAGGTCAAACGTTGAGAAATTCTTATGCTTCACTTCTATCTGAAGTTTGTGTTGATGATCATGTTGTTCAGAAGAACAATGAAAGCTCCACAACCAAAACAACCAGCCCAGAGAACTAAACACCACCACAATATTTGGCTTTTTGAAATCATGAACGGTATAAAAGTTCGCGAATCATTGAAAATGTGGAAGCACTGTAAGGCTATTTCATCCCATCATATGATTCAGCAGTGCACAATAACGACCCTGCCTACAGAAATTTCAAACTTTGACTTTCAGTGTTGTGCTAGAAGAACCAACTTCCAAACCACTGAGCAGGGAAATAGTGGCTTGCAAGTCTAACTCCAATCAATCCACGATGTTGTGCGAGTACCCGGTGCTCCCAGATTTACAATGAATGTTTATTTTAGATCAGTTAGTGATTTTAGTGAATTCGAACAACATCCACAGCCCTATGCTGAGCATTCAGCTTTATACATTGTGTAGACAGTGTACGAATTGTATGTGTTCAATGATTTTTCATAGTAAATCAATTTCGCTCACTTTATTTCTTCATTACACACGAACAATCACAAAGAGAAGCAGTTGTCGGGTAATAGTGGAATCCAGGACAGGCGTTTCATCATATTTGAGAATCATCAGCTGAGTATGTCTGCGTCGCAGAGTTGATATTCACTCCAGGACTCGAATCCGGTACTGTTTTCGCTTCAAACCGATACCTACATTATCTATTTTGAAACTGAGTCCAAGATAGCCACTAGTTTCTTCAATGTATTGATTTTTCAAACCTTCAGTTCTTATTGTAGATAAAAAAATCTTTTCTGGCTTCAACAGGTGATTGGTCGGCGAATGAGGGTAATTTGTATAAGTCCAAATTCCTTGTTATACAACACATAAACACATTCAATATATTTTTTTATCACATTTATTGCTCATTTTATTATTGTTTATTGATGAGATCTTTACCTATATTAAAAAAAAGTATGCAGTCCCGTTGTAGTGAAGGAGAACACAGGTGAGGCCAACCGAATTGTATTTAACGAAAATTACAGAGTTACTCAGTAAAATAGGAAAACCATATCGTAAATCGTTAATTTGCAAATCTTCAATACATCATCAATCCATTGTCTGACATTTCACTTATTGATGCGTTTCATAAAAATTCCATTGTGTTCCCACTCTTCGTTTCTTGTTGATCTTCTCCCATCTTCTGCTGCTAGACATTACGTTTACACTTGTGTCATATACTACTTATGAGTAGTGCGCACCACACCGTGACTTTCAATGAATAATCCTATTTTCTTCAGGTTATGAGCATTTGATGTTATGTTGGATGTTTTGTAGCTTTAGTTAAATTTTAAAAAACGTAATATATACATTTAATAGTTATTTGTAAATATTCATAGGTAAATAAAAATTCCTACGAGTTGCATAAACGAAGACGTGAACGCAAATATTTGTTAGCTGCACATAATGAAATATGGGGTCCAGCACAAGATACTGTTGAAATTGTATCGAACACAAATGATTTACAATGTTGTAAACGTCAAGATGCAACAACTCTAACACCAAATGACTGGTGGCCAGAACAGTCACAGAACAGTCAGTCATATGATGATGAGGAGAATTCGTTGGAAGAGAATAAAACGGAGTCAGATTTCATAACTGATAACCTGAACAATGATGACAATAGTAGTAATGATTCAAATAATGTATAACAGCTGAACGATTTTATGCTTTTTTAATGCTGAATGATCATTGTTTCCCCTAATCATATAAACAAATACATACATTCAGCATTCAATTAATAAAACATGAGTGTGTACAAATATGTTGAGCCCAGAGGGCTTGTCGTAGTTTGCGGACAAACTAATTAACCTTTTCTATAAGAGTTACTATTTACCTGTCATTCGACCGTGTCTATTATTCATTCATATTCGTGGTTGCTTTTATTTGTGAGTGTGTGTGTGTGTCCACTGCTTACTCCGCTTATCACACATTTAGTCATGCCTCATCACATTGAGTTAGCTCAATCGTTTTCACTTAGCTTCGCTTCGCTTTTACTTTTCCTATCCTCAAATTTGTTTCCTTAAATAAATGCATAAAATAAATCCATCCTCAAAACTGTATGTGGCTTCTTATCACCGTCATCACATCATCGGGTTTCGCTGAAATTGAAGGAAAGATTTATTTCACAGCATATTCAACTGTTCATCCAAAAATCCAGTCCAATTACATGACAATGAGCCTATCTGCATCAAGCTGAGCTGCCTCTTCTACTATCCTATGCCATTTGATGTGTACACCATATGCTATACTGCTATATAGAGCTGAAGGTCTCCTATGAGACTAGAGGTTCGCTGTGAATATTGTGGATGGCTTGGCTTTGCTTTGGTAAGCATTGTTAACAGTCCATATACAAAATTGGTTAGCAGGGTGACCGATTTCATTGATATAGGTGGTTGTTTTGAGACATTCCCGAGGGTCATTGTCATTGGGGTGCTGTATTACATATCACCATTGCTAATAATAATTAGTTTGACAGTCATGTTAAGCGGGATGGGTCGAAATTGCCTGTTAATGCGGTGCGTATTGATTGACGCGATCATTGATCGGAAACTTACATACCATTGTGTGCATATGAAATGGTGTGAATAGTCCACCAGGGTATCAGGTACCTGTGTATTGGTTGCACCACAGGATTGAGCCGAACTGTTCATGTTGCAGTGGTAAAACGTGTCCAATCTCTTTGGTTCTCCTCAAAACCACCAATGTAAAATTGCCCTTGACAATACAGAGTAAATTTATATAATTGTGAAATTAAATTCATAAAAAATAACTTAAATATGAGAAGTGTAAAAAAGGGAATCAGATAATCAGACTGTTGACATTAAATAGACACTGCATAAGAACAAAATCATAAGTTGAAATTAAAAGGAACACATGAGCGATTGTACAGAAACTTCGGATAAGTTAAAGAGGTTGTACGAACATTGTCTGTATACAACGAATAAGTTCGCTGATCTGCATTTTATCGTACGTGTAAGATGAATACTGGACGTGGAAGTTAAATTTAATAAATATAAGCCCGGCACCATTTCATTCTGTTCAGAACTCTATGTCTCAGGGAACAAATACTTTATATTGCTTGGTTTGGAATATTATTCTAGTAAAACTGTACACTTGTAAAGAGACTAAACTAAAATTAAAGATCTAAGCTTGTTGCTGAGGGGTCGGGCAGAGTCAGCGTTGGATAGACTGGTCTTTGTCGACGGAAAAAGATGTGGGACGTTTCAGTTGCTGACCCGACAGTGGATTTCATTGATCTAGATGGTTGAGAGAACTGCAGAGGTCTACATGTACTAATGAAGGCTCAAAACTAGATCATGCTGTTTTGTTCAAAGAGCTATTTGACACAATGAACCCCCAAGCTAAAGTTACATTTTGACAACAGAAAAAGAAAATCTGACCACAACACTTACTTTACGTTTGGTTAAACGGTTAGTCTGATGAACATCGATAGCTAATTTTGACAGATAAATTTGTATAGATATGGCAATAGATTTTGACTAAATGGGCTGAAAAGTATCTTATTGTTTCACTGTTTTGCCCTTTAGTCAACGGAAAGAGGTGATATACAGTAATTTGACAATATACCTACTTGATTGTACGCACAAGATAGCTTGCTCTACCAAAGCAGTTGAACTGGGAAACAAACATATATGAATGAACTATGTGACTAATCCTTATTACGTGAACTCACTATTAAGTGACTAATAAAAAGAGAGACGATGTTGCTTCATTCATTCTTCGTTTGATAGATTTTCCCTTTCTTCATATTATTACTTCACTAGTCATATCACCTGTTGTTCTGAGAATTGAGAGGTGTTTCTTCAAGTATTGTCAATGATTTTGGTTTACATTCTATTATCAATAAATCTTTGTTCGAGTCTTTGTTGAACGTCCGTTTCAAATTCAGTAGATCGCGGATACGTTTTAGCTAATCATTTTACTTCTGTCACCTAGGCTTTGTAATGAGGCGAGTAGCACTTGACTCTGATCACTACAGGCCAGTTAAGTACCAATTACCAATTTAAATCCCTCAATAGAACAGCAATTAAAAGGAAAATTGGAGACTGTGATTAGTATATAATAATTGTTGATTTCGTGGTATCGAAATAATATCGAAATCGTGCCAAGGTAAACGGGGGAGACTGCTTTGCGTACGGAATCAAGTTCAAGGTCACAGACAACGGAAAATGTGTTTTTCGTCCAATTAAACCAAGAGGTACAGTAAAACAATCACCAATACGATTGGTTATAATAACAAATGTTTCCATTACACAGTTCGGCGGCACATTTTTATATCCAGATCATGCTCTATTGCGCGCGCGTATTTGTTTGTGACTTACTGGACGTAGGGTTCTACCTAATGATAGTAGAGCTATGAATATATTTCAGGAATAAGCCTTCCGTTGCCTGATATAAATCCTCTAAGTCTTTATGAAGTTGAATAAGCTATTGGAAAGCTGAAGAGAAGGCGAGCAGTAGGGCCTGATAGGCTTACACCTGAGATTTTTAGGAAAGTGGTCTATTTTTAAACCGTTAGATTGATTGAGATCTTAGGTAGAGTCTCGGGAATGGACATAATCACATCCGAACGGTCTCAATCCCTGATTATCGCATTTTATAAGAAACGACAAAAGTCCTATTGTGACAATCATAGAGGAATAATTCTAACTAATATATTTTCTAAAATATTGACCTCAATAATACTTCGACGCCTAACTCGAGCTCATGAGTGCAGACTAGCATCTGACTCTGTTGATCGTGAGGTTCTGTGGCAGTGTCTGTCATTAAAAGATGTACCAAGGAAGTACGGTCACCTTATGCAGGCTCTCTACTCGAACACCACTGGTCGAGCAAGAGCTTATGGCGAACTGTCAACGGAATTCTTTACTTCAAGTGATGTCTGTCAAGAATCTCCACTCTCTCCATTCCTGTCTAACTTTGTCGTATATATCCTCTTAGAGTTGATATTTGCCATCGCTTGAGTTTACAGGAGTAAACCTTTTACTAGGAGAACGCCTGTTGGGTGGTCAGGCTAGCTTTCTCCAAGACTGACTGAAGTCGACGGTACCAACAGGGCGATGGTTGGAGGCATGGATTCAGGATAAAAAAAATCAAAGTAAAAGAAAAAGGTGTGGCAAGCATATAGTCTGGAGTAGAGTCCTAGAATCGATCCGTTGCTAGTCGAGAAGTGTACAGGCAGACGTACTCGGTGACCGGAAAGTGGGACGGCAGTCTCTAATGTATCTTGTGAGACTGCAATGTCATCCGAACTCAAATGTGGCGTGGTCTGCTGATCTGGACGTGAGGCCAGAGTCTCATCCGTAGATAATACAGATGACAGGTGCTGCTGATTGGGACGTGAGAATGAGGTCTCTGATGTAACTAGCATGGGGTCTGAAGGAGACATAGGGATCACACCAGTTAGTTGGATGGGTTCAGCACTGAGATGATCTTTTCTGACCGTGTCGATCAACCTTGAAGGTCTATTCGTGACGGAAAATCACGTGGTACGGTTTGTGAACGGAATTCACTCGTACGAAAATACGTGGACAGGTAAACAAATATCGAGGGGGAGCGACCTATCGATGCTGTTTTGGACATGACACCGCAGGCAGTGTTCGCATACACGCAGATAGTCGTTGGACGTTATCTATTATACAGAAGTCGCTGCTCCGTGGTATGAAAATTCTTCAACTGATGCCATGTTGTGCCATATACAAGTTCAGATGCGAAACGTTGAATATGTTTATCCCAGGTCGTTCTGATACCTAAGAGGACAAGTGGTAGGGCTTCGTATCAATTGTTGTTTTCGTGTGCTCGACTTCGGCTGGGATATCATTTGAGGTTGCGACAACTGTTAATGAGAAAAAGTTTTGACGAACGTGAGTGTTTGTGCTCTTTGATGAGCAATTTTTCGAGGATTGCCTCGGGGGGCGTGGTGGTGATGCTTCAGCAAGATGCTCATGTTGCACTGATTTGCTTACTTTACACTTTACACCCTTGGCATACACTCTGTTCATCATAGTACAAAACTTTCTTTTCTCAAGTTAGTTTCTGAGCCAATTTAGAAGTAAATGTCTTTACATTTCCGCTTAGGGACTTTGATCTTGAGGGAATAAATGGAATATGAACCTTCTGTTCACTATTGGCTATTATGATAGTGCATGTTCTGAGGTGGCTGCACGGTCTTGTGGATTAGAATATTGGGTCATATGTTTTTGGTGTGGCCGTTTAAGAAAATCACCTGCCCCGGTCGATTCAGGATCCCAACCCACTCGTAAATCTCATAAACTGAGTAGGGACGATATATTTACGTGGTTCTTTATATCAGTGGTAATGTGTTTAAACAAATGAAAAGCAAATAAATAACTCAGAACATGAAAGAACGACGAAGATAAGAGAATCGAAGATCAGTTACATACATAAGCACGTGAATTAGGCTAATGGGTAGACAGTTCTTAGGTTTATTTCTCGCACCTGTTTTTGAATACAGGACTAATCAGGGCTTTCTTCAAGCTTTTCAGCAATCTTCCTCTGGTTATTTATGGATTAAAATATGTGCTCAGCTGACCAGCCTGGAAGTTCCACTAGTTTGTTGGGTTATCTAGTTCCTACTTGATCGAGTCTTGTCCATTTACCCAAATAAGGTGTAGAATCCTTTTTGAATGTTTTGTTTTTTGGAAAATCCCTCCATGTTTATATATTTTTGTTATGACATGACGAACTTTTTCTGTTGACATTTTGGTATTTTACTTGATTCCAATTTGAGATTTTATCATTGTATATTGTTATTATTTCTATATTTTGTACTTATATTGAAGTTTTTATGTTTGCTTCTGAACTGTACATATGTTGTTTAAATTTGATATAATATGGCTACCGCCACATTTTTGGATTTGACATCGTGCGGTATAGGAGTTCACCTAATCTTCGGAACCTCGATACTCATTCAGAGTAATTTTGAATCGGAAGGCGTAAAATTTGTTAGGTACAGTTTGTATTTCCATTTATTCTCTATTAATAGACCATTTTCTCCTAGAATTATTGTGTTTTTATATTCTAAATCGGAAAGTGCGTCCGACATACGTCTATTGGAATCGAATTGAACTGCTACGGTAGAAAATCCAATTACAGTCTAACAAATTGGAAACCAAGCCTACTACAGTCTGATTATTAAGAAGAATAAAGAAGCATTTGGAATTTTAATCGTTTATAATATTAAACTTCTTGGAAGAAGAACCTTGGATTACTTATCGTATTTTTTGTGATCGAACTGTATTTTGGAAAACGATTTTCTGATTTTGGATATTTCTTATTGAAAACTTACCTGTGGAATTCCTATATTTTGTATTTGTTATTTATCTTCCGTTGAACTTCACTTAAAAATGAGCAACCGCAAGAAAACAAACACGAAGAGGGTGGAAGAGCATGAATAATCCCGAAATGCTTGGCAAGTCGGTGATGATGCTTGTTTAATGGGTTCCCACTTTATTCGTGACGATGTTATGTCTGATACTTATTATTGTAAGTCACCCTTGGCAGGCATTAAGGAACAAAGTTTAAGTGAGAGTTCTAAGGTACCAGAGAAGGATCAGATGCTTAGGACACCGATAGTAGGCTTAGAACTACCTAAGGTTGAACTCTCATTCTTTGAAGGCAAACCTCGCGACTACTTTAGATTTATTAGACAATTTGAAACGTTTATAGAACCCAGAGTAAAGGATGACAATTTGCGTTTATTATATTTAATTCACTACTGTAAAGGAAAAGCAAAAATTCGATTGAAGGTTGTCTTATAATGGATCCACAAGCGGGATATAAGAGAGCTAAGGCTATTTTAAAACAGCTCTTTGGGCAGTCACATGTGATAGCCCTTGAAACCTTAGAGGACTTGTTTAGAACCGGGAATGCAGAATTTAACGATCCTGAACTATTGACGAATTTGGCGATTAAAATGCAGAATGTTGCTCTAACCTTAGAACAGTTAAATTGTACAACCGAACTTAATTCTCTGGTTACTTTGGAGCGAATAGTTAGAAATTTGCCCCGGTCTATGCAAGCTCAATGGGCGTAAATAGCCGTAAAATGGATTGAAGAAGATAGAGAGCCTACTTTTACTGAACTTACTGAGTTTATATTATCTCGAGCAAGAATAGCTGATAGTAGATTCGGTCGGCTGGCTAATCGGCCAAAGATAGGAAGAGATGTAAAAATGAACTGTCACCTTCAATCGAAACCAGCAACCCTACCGAATATTAGATATAACTGTAGCATTTGTACTGGTGATCACTTGGTTACTAAATGCCCTCAGTTTTTAGAGCTTGCTGTTCAAGATAGATGGAATCAGGTTAGAAAAAAGGGGATGTGTTTCACCTGTCTGAAGCAAGGGCATAAGGCCAGTGACTGTAAATCGACAATGCGTTGTGGTATCGACAAGTGTGAGAAAAAACATCATGTTTTGTTGCATGAAGACTCGACCATCAAAAGGTTGGATGATAAACGTGAATCCCAGCATTGTTGCGGACTCACCAGGTCACTGAGCAGACAGGTATGCTTAGGATTGGTCCCAGTACGTGTGAAATCGGAAACAGCCGAGATAATAGGATATGCTCTTTTAGATAACGGCTCTGATTCTACGTTGATAACGTCAACTTGTGCAAAAGCGCTTGGATTGCCGGAAAACTGTGAGTTAGTTGTGGTACAAACTGTTGGTGGTGACAAAACGGCAGCATGTACGAATGCCACTTTCGAAGTGCATTCTTTAGATCAGTTGGAACACATCGTGATTGAAGGAGCGATGATCGTACCTAGCCTACCGAGGCATAAGCCCACCATGTTAGCAATGAAAAATCTAACTAATTGGCAGCACTTAAAGGATGTACTGGTAGAAGGTTTCTTTAAAAGAAACAGGATAGATTTTCTGAGTGGTCCTAGTGTCCAATATTTGTATCGAGGGATAGAATGCCCTTGAGGGAAAGCTAACTCTATGGTATACACACTGCAGAGTTGTTTGAAAATACCTGAGTTTTATAGTTATAGACTTCCAGTAGTGGTGCAATACTATCAATAATGATGGTATTTATGTTCGTTGCAGTCTCTCCACTATTCTGGTAATCTGATTCTCCTTTCAATCTGTTAGCTTATGTACTATTATAAGTGTTTGCGGCATTGATAATAACAATTTATTCTCAAATAACATGTTACAAGAGGCATGCAAATTTACAGGGAAGATCAAAATGTTAAAAGTACTAACATATCTTAAGTAAAGTGTTGCTTAGTCACGTAAATACTTCACAAAATACATTGGATTAATAGAGATGGAAGAAATTTTTCAGATGAAATTGTAGACTGTTTCAGACTGAAACGTAGAAAACGATAGCTCACTTTACTTACTTGCTTACTCTACGACGAACCACTGACGGTTGAGAACCGGTGCAAGGTAAATACAGATCCATATATAACAAGAGTCGATCAGGTAAATGTTCTAAAATTTTCCTGTTGATATTCGTTAGATTATAAATTTACAGGCTCCTAGGAAAGGTAACTGTGTCTTTGGCAGTTATCCATGCTTATAATAATTTTCTAGATCTGCTTGTAAGACGGTTCCTTGTTAGGAAGTAAAACCAGTTCAGGGTTACAAACATAAGTCGTAGACGTGGTTAACACGGAAAAGTAACATCAATATCATTCATTGGTTACATCTTGCTACATCAAAAGGAGCCGTAAGCAAACAAATTGTTCTGCCCCACGGACAGATTTAGATTGAGGTTATCACCCCACCGTCATCAATGCCGGCGAGACACCACACCCTCCCTACTTTTGCGATGTCAGGCTCGCTGATGTTTAATGGTGGATTTTAAATAATGTTTGTGTAGCAGACCTAAAGGCCATTTAAATGTCTTCGTTTTCCGGTATCATTCTCCGTCAAGGCCTAACCACCATAAATTTTATAATTCCAAGGTTTTTTCATAGATGTCTAATCATAATTTTAACTCTATAGGACTTCAACACTTTTAGGAACATTTTTATATTTAATAGCCATTTGGCATACTCGAAGCAAATAGCGGCTTGCACTCTTCTTTAACTTACTGGGAACAAAATCAGTCTTAAATAAAGACATTTTAGGCAATCACTGGCTGCCTCGACTTGGAGAACGGGGCTTGGGAGAAACATGCATTCTTGAGGTTTCGTTCCACACTTACCTCTAAGAGATCGGCCATTTCTCCTTCAGATTATGCAATTCAATAGGCCTTGGTTTGAATGGTATTTCTGTAGATCGATGTGTCAATAGAGAGAGCACCATTTGAACAGTCTTGATTATGCTTTCTAATATGAATTTTGGCAGCACTCATGACTGTGATAGCAAATGCTTTGCATCCGAACAGCTTTGATGGTGCGACCAAATACATCCGTTTAATCGAACAGTTTGAAAGCTGCCGATATTAGATTTGTGCAGATTTCACGATTATTAACCATTTGCGTTCAACAAAATGCATAAGAAAATCACTGAAATTCTTTCATTCACGGTGAAAAACAAAATTGTTCATTTTCAAGTCTAATAGAGGAAAATACCTCTGTCAATTTTAAAGGCACGCGGATTACTGCCGATATCATTACAATGCTTGGAATCTTACCATAACAGAAGGAGGCAAATGCGAATAAATCGTTTGATTTATACTTTTTCATCATACAGATCTTAAATATTTTCGTAACAAACTCAAATCACGGAACACATAAATACATAAATAACGGCCAACTAACTAGAATTACTGCAGTCGACTATCCTGACTGCCATCCACTCAACACCACCAAATAACTGGATCCTTACCGGAAGATAAAAAATCGAGAGCTAATAAATCAATTAGTTTATACCATCTTGCACAAAATATATTGGATATTGGATTGCTGTTGTTGTTTGACTGTATTACGGTTTTCTGTTACACGTTATCGTATAACTAACGAATATGGAGGAATTACGGAATCAGCGTCTCTTGGAAAATCTTGATTTACTAAAAAGTCTTGCAAGTATGTAATTAAAATTGAACAAATTTGAGCTTTATGAAGATGTATGTGACGATGACATGGAGAAGATCAGAAGAATGTATGGGATCAAAATGGTATGTTCAACCATTATCCAAACTAATTACAAAGTAATTAGTGTTAAAAGCCGTTCTGACCAATAGGTTTACAATTACTGTCACTCAGTTAGGTTGAAGTCCACTATCTGTGCAGTTTCCCCTGAAGTCTCTCTTTTCTAATTGCTGTAGCAGTACTTTCTAAAACATATTCAGTTATTTATATACTCTCAAGTTGGAAACCAATGTGCGTGCACTTGTTTTTAAAAAATTGGCTTATATTCCTCTAATGCACATTGCTGACGTCGGTTAATGTCGATAAGAGGGTACCAAATTAGTTCCTTGATTAATCTCAAATACATTCGTCGTCTATGTCATCTCAGTCAGTAACGGGATAAACTGGGTCAAATAGGAGATGGTTTTGAAAACGTATGTATATCTTGATACGTTTGTTGATGCATGTAGGCAATAGCGGTCTCGAGTAGTAATAGATAAAATGAGTCCACCCAGTGTGTAGTGTTCTAGTCTTTATAAAGAATCATTGGTTTAAAAATTACCTATAATCCTTTAGATTTTGGACCGAATATCTTTTTTCACGAACTGGTATAAACCAATCGATTTATTGTTCTTTTAGAATGGTTTCATAATTTCGGCAATAGATGATAAGTACATATTAATTAGCACATGATGTTGTTAACGAAGTCACTGAACACTCAATACAGAGGTACGTCCCTAAAATCCCAAACAACTTCAGGATGGCGCGTTTAATGGTCAGGTAAAAACATAGCAAAGATGAATATGCTGTGGGCTGCTTTGGATTTATATCTGTCTACTTGAGTGTTCAATGTGCACAATATGAGAACTTAAATTTTATGTTCACAAGCCTCATGCTGTAATAACAAACAAGACATCGACAAAAATATTAGTTCTCTTATTGATAAATTGCTCATGTTGATTGCTTTTTCAATGAATCAGAACTAATAAACTGCAGTTCATTCGCCTTTTAATAAAATGAGTTCTTTTAGTTTGAAAAAACAGTATGGGATGCTTAGAAAGGCATTACGCACAATCGTATACATGATCATCAAGATCTTATTATGTTCCTGTCTTGACGGAAAATAGTTTGAATTCATATTTGATTTTCACTCTCTAAAGCGACGTTTAGAATGGTTATATTCTTCGTTTTTTTGAGCACTTATTATGAATAGCGTGGGCTTCCCATATAAGATCCTGTGCATTTCCTTTAGCTTGTAGTTAATCAGGTGAAATCAAAATAAAATCAATACAAATATAATTGTATAAAGAGGCAACACTGTTAACTGGCACGGTAGATAAAAACAAGAAGTTGATTAGAAACACGACGTTATCTGGTGTTAGTCAACTGAGAAAGTGTATTTGCACGAAAGAGTGAAGATTAGATTTTTGAACAAAACGTTTTACAGTCGCGGGAAGAATTTTCACACTGAAAAGTTTAGAAGGTAGAAATATTGACGAAATCTATTATGATTTCTTTACTTTGACCATTTAACACAGCTACTGTCCACAGAGCGCCTGAAGTAGGAAGCGTTTTAGTACAAAAATTGCTTAAATCTTTTTAACTTAACATCAAAAATGGCTTGACGTCGCTAGATTTAATCTGTCTCAAATTGCATAATGTCATTTCCTTACTATTTGCAATTCGAAGCTAACGTTTCTAGTATATTGCATCCATTTTAAGAATTATGCAACAAGGATGTTTGAGATGTTAAGCATACTACTTAATTTATGTAAATGATCTTTAAAAATCTGTATTGTAGGTAGTTTTTAAAATTCAGATAAATTTATTCAATCAAAAATATGAAATACGTGTTAAGTATCTAAGATTATCGATGATGCGCCTAGTGCTTCATCCGTCACAACCTTGTGCACAGCAAATACCATTTTATTTTCAATGGTGTTTTAGTGTTAAAAGCCAGTGATTAATTGGTCTTCAGTTAGTTAACCACCATTTTTTGGAATTCAAAGCATCCTCACACTTCAATAACAGAATAAAAAAAGCTAGCAAACTATAAAGAAATCATGAGCCGTAAGAACTACTAACAGTAAACCATGTTATTATTATTCACTATTTCCTATTTTAAATGCCTTTATTTGTTATCTGAACTATAGTCAAAATCCAATGTTCCGAGATGTCAGAGAATCCGCGCAACATCATCAAAATGTATCCAGACTAAGCATGTGCCTAAAACGTTACCATGCCGTCATTCGAAAGTACCAACATTGTTAAATGAGCTTCTATTCTGTAAATAGAGAAGGATAAAAGTAAAGGTCTCATTATCTTCAAACAGCGACAGTGATTGGATGAGCAGTGGGGATGAGTGGATTCCGGATTTGCCCAAACCATTTGTTACAAGCACGCCAACTCATAAATCATCTCATGAAAAAATGACGAAAAAAGCATCAGAATGTAGTAGCAAAATTGCCACACTGATGGAAGTTTCGAATTCCGAAGAAGGTACGTTTTAAGCTATAAACTGACCAGTTTGCAGGGAGACGATATCCCAAACGGGAGAAAGAAAGGCGAAACTACACATTTGATGTGGTGATTCCTGAAGATGATAGGTACCTGTGTAAGTTGCTTTTTTACTGCCAATAACGAACGTGGTTGGAAATTTCTTTGAATTCAAAGATAGAGAGTGAGAGAAATTTGAAATATCGTTTTAACTCTTCATAGATGATATTTACAAGTTTTAAATCATCTGAGTTATGATTAAACTTTTTGTACTTCACAAACCAAGATGTTTCTACATAGTCTCTCCTATCATATCATTCATAAGATTTGATAAAAACATGAATGAGGTTCATAGTTTGAGTAAAGCGGGATAAATGTACAGTACACAAACATCCAAAATTCTTATCAAATTCTATTTCTGAACAGCATAGAAATGCTTTCGTTCTTGCTAATGGAATGTCAATAGAAACTTTGATGTTACGGGTTTCATTCTTGAACACGATAAATAACGATAACATTGAAATTTTGTAATTTTTGCTATTTCCTTAGTGTTAACTCTTTTATTTTTATTCAGACTGTTATACTTGTAAACGTTCTGTCATTGATGGATGTTTTGATCATCCTATTATTTGGATCGACAATACACCATCAGATGTTTGCGAAGAAGTCAAAGACAAGTACATTTACTGCCAAACATCCAAATGCGTTTGTGGAGAGCCATTTTATAAACATGCAGCTAAAACCGCTCCAAAAGGACTGATCACAATTAGCAAGTCTAGAATTCACGGAGCAGGGTTGGGTGCATATGCAAATGCTAACATACAGTGCGGAACTATGTTTGGACATTACGAAGGACAGATAGTGTATTTACATGAAATGGATAATGAGGAACGGGTCAGGGTATGTCTTTGGGTCTTCAGTGTCCATGATCTTAGTCTTAATAGAATCCCTGTTAATATTTATGGATGGTTTTATCGACTCGCTAGTATATGTTTCCTTTCAATATTTTTATTATTTCTAGAGGTCGCGTGGTGGATATGCATGGCTCGTAAGAGCTAATAATAATGGCGTCAGTGCTCATCTGGTGGATGCTCGAAATCCTCTGAATTCAAATTGGTTAAGAGTGAGTCGTATTTTGGCGAGGTTCTAAACTCAGAGTCGAATTAATAATTTTCATTCAACAGTTTGTGCATAAATATCTTTTAAATAAATTTGTATGCTATTTTCCCGGTAGAAAATGAACTATGAATACTTAAAGAGTGGTAAATATTTTTGTACTATTGAACTGATCTTATACTGTGAGTGTTTTTTTGCAAAATGACATTTACTGAACTTCTCGAGTTGTAAGATGTTTGGACCATTATCCGTTGCACTTATTATGTAATCATTTCGTAATACGTATAGGAAATATCACAAGTTCGTTTACTCTTAGCTATAATTTAAACTTACTAAAATGAGGATGGGAAGAATATATAGGCATTATGAAAGCTTCGTATTATGACCGATATTGTTTATCATATATCGTATCCTGCTTTTCTTAGATTGTCAGCAATAAGATAAGGTAATATTCAATAATGAATTTAAGCAGTCACATGTCTTATTCTGCAACCTAAACACTGTCTCAATTACTATAATAACTATGAGAAAATCAATTTAGCTGTCTATGATAAACATTGATTATCCAGTGGTTATTTCACGATCAAAATTCTGACTGAAACATATTTTTATTCACTCGTTTATTTAGTTTGTTAATTGTGCCCGATTCGAAGAAGAGCAAAATCTTGTTACAGTGCAGTATAGAGGAAAAATCTACTATAGAGCATGCAAAGTATGCGGTTATTCTTGTTCGCTATCTTTTGTCTAGGACATTTCAAGATTCGAAGAACTTCTTACGTATTATGGAGAGGAGGTATGTTTTTACTTTATAGACTGATTTGTAAAAACTCTTCCAAATAAGACAACAGAGTGGGATACCTATGCATTATGAAAGTTGCTCCTAGCAGATAATAGAATATTTAGACTAAATATGTGAAATGTGAGCCTCTGTAAAATCTTGATTCACGCACTAACACCTATACCAAATAGGCCTTAATAGCAAAAAAATAATAGTTGTCGTCAGTATTTGAATTCCTTGTTTCGTATGTTCTCACCATAACTGAATTCATATACAAAACGTATTATTTTCTACTGTACTAATCAGTGACGATACAAATTACCATCTAACTCTAGACACGATGAATTTCATCCAAAAGTGAGTTTTCCTAGTTGTTGACTGGATCGTAAAGACCCTCTTAGCTTCTTCTGCTGTTATTGCTATGTCTTCCACATGTTTCCGTTCATAAGCTTTGATGCTGTTCTGCACTTGTCTGTTTGCTTGCCTGAGATGCAGTTTAAGGATTACCACAAAGTGTTACCCACTCACCTCATACACATAATTATCTCATCAATGAAAAGACCTTTTTCCATCGAGCTTCTCTCATGACTTAATCCCCGAGATTACAGTGTGACTCCTAATAATCAATGATCACAAGACAACTTCGCTGATATCTGATAGCCGACTTAATTTGCCACCATAATGATGTAATCTTCTTTTTATTCTGTTCGTACATGTTTTTCCTGCAAATCTTCCTGAAGTGATCGTGGATTATTTTTGAAACTACCTCAGTGTTTAACTTCATTGATTCAGTTGGTATGCTGCCTGATTCTGTAACTTGACATTCTTGATTTGCTGGATAACCTTGCCGACTCATTTTATTTTTGATCCGGTAATATAGGCGGGTCTGTGTGCTGCTAAAATTTCCAGAGGGCTCAATGCGTCTAGTTTATTCAAGAGTTCTTCAAAGTGATCTACACACGTGACCCGTTGCTCTCGATTCTCAGTTACTGGTTTATCATATCTGTTCTGGACTGATTCCTATGAGTTCTCACTATAATCGAACATTCGATTTACTTGTATTAACTGTTACTCTGTTTGCCAGGAGTGATGTCGACCTTCTGAGTTTCGAAAAATCTCATCTCTCCCCTTAAGTAGTAATAACTCTTCTGTATAAAGATAAGATTCTTCAAGTTTCTGAATAGAAATTAATCGACTTTTTTCCTGATCAGCGATTTTCGGGGCAGAATTCTGACATACGAATTCGGATCGAGACCCACTCACCCAACTCTATTGGCAGTATCTCTGAAGGGGCCCCAGAAGGAATTTATTTTTCATATAATAACCAGTGAAACTACCAAATTGATCAATTAGTATAACTAAGGCGAATATTGTCACTGGTTACTGCTTAAATATGTATATCATTGTATTCACTGCAAGTTCCGAGCTATGATCTTTCAAATTTAGTCCAGAAAAATAATAGTGAATGCTTTTAGATTTTTAGTACATTCTCAACAGGTCTAAAACAAATTTTCAATAATCTCATTTCACACGAAGCTTGTAGACGTAAGAAATAGGCACTGATTTAACATGTGCTTATAAATTTGTCATGCATAACTGTAAATTTCTACTCATTAGTCCAAATTGGTTAATGCTTTGTTTTTAAAACTTTATTTCTAGTTTGCATCTGAACTTGAAAAGGATATTAAATTCTCACAAATGACAAATGTTAAATCCAAAGGTAATACAGTAGTATTACTATAATTTGCAATAATTCGGTCATGTAAAATTTTTGTTTAGCAAAGAGTTTTTAATTTATTTAAGTTTTTGTTACATCCTTGATACATCTACACAGTAGTGAATTATATTTAGTAGAGATTAGGAAAGTTAATTATTTATCAATCGTACACAATATAGTCAGTCTATTTACAGCTATATACATCAGTGCTTACTGTATATGTGGGAATAGTGAAGAACTGCTTTCTAATTCTGTCTGATATATAGTCTTGAAATATGTTACGACGTCAATATTTACTTACATACAGCAATTGATATACAAAATTTACACTAGTCTTGTTGATCATTGATATACCTATATAGTTTTGGAGAAATTAATTTTCAGCCGAGCCGACGACACAGTGATAACTTTGTTCACTATTACATAGGTTAAAATTAAATAATGGTTCTCAGTATCATATGAACTCATTTGTTACTTAAGCGATATTGATATCAAGGACTTTGAGTATCCATTTTAACCATGTTGATATTTAGGCTATTTTTCACTGTTTATTCTTAAACATTTTCTTTTACTATGTACCATTAAGGTCCAGTGCACATTTAAGCCTATCTATTTCTGATAGATTTCTGTCCTAACAATGTATTGTCTCATAAAACACTCAATAATATGCTGAAGTAATATGTGGAAATGATACTGAAGATATAACTTACCTACTAATAAAACAAAAGTAATTAGCGCATAAGATTATGTCACATATACATATGAAGAGAAGAAGAATAACTGACTAACTTCTTAGATAGAAAAGAAAGTGATTTGTTTAAGCACACTATCTGCAAATAGCTTTCAAAAACACGGAAGCCTTCAGACTCACCGTTGCCTCCTTGTTAACTCAGCCTACGCTCCCACTAACTGCAGTTCAGAAGACATAAAAAATATGTTTTACAGAAACCTCTTTAACCTTCTTGAAAACGTTAAGCGCTCTGATATAGTAATAATGGCTGGTAACCTCAATGCTCCAGTAGTTAGACTCATCGAAAAGGAAAGACACCTGGGTGGATCTTATGGTATCGAGGCTCAAAGATCAGATAATGACGACCGTCTGCTGCAGCTATGCTCAAATAACCTCCTCTTCCTAGCAAACACTAACGTTAGGCTGAAGGAAAAGCATCTCTTGACCTGGCGACCCCAAAGCCGACCCAGGACTGGACCCAACTAGATCACATCGCTATAAGCAATCGGTGGAGAGGCTCTGTTGAAGACTGCCGCTCATTCTGGTGCACTTGTTTAGACTCAGATCATGCTCTAGTGCGAGCGCGTATTTGTTTGCGCCTTACTAGACGCAAGAAAAATATCGCAAGGAAACCTGTTAGGGCTCTACCTAATGATAATAAAGCTAAGAATATATTTCAGGAACAACTAGAAAAACAGTAAGGCAGCCATGTAGTAAGTGATGCCCACCCTGAGGCTGCTTGGAATGATATCCAAGAGGCTGTGGGAACAGCAGTAATGTCTTTTAGTAAGGTAAACGATGAGGTTAGGGAAAAGCCGTGGATTTCAGTAGCATCTACGGAACTGATAGATGCTCGAAAGCTCATCCCTCTTCGCTCTGAGCACGATGAGGAGCGGAGTCAGCTTAGGCGCACGTTGATAAAAAGCCTACGCAATAATCGCGAACAGTGGTGGACAGAGAAAGCGAGATAGAAGAAAAAGGCAGCGGCAATGGGCAACAAAAGACAACTATTCAAACTTATTAATGAAACCGGTATTATGGAATCAGTTCAACTGGCATTCAGCCACACTTCGGTTGCTTACAATCTTCAGTCAACATGAATGGAAAATCGGCGTAAGTCCACTGACTCTTTATGAAGTTGAGAAAGCTATAGGAAATGTGGAGCAAGGGCGAGCAGCGGGTCCTGACAGATTGGCCCCCCTGAGATTTTTAAGGATGGTGGTCCAGTTTTAGCAGCTAGATTGTCTGAGATCTAATGTAGAATCAGGGAACTGGACGTTATCCCATCTGACTGGTCCCAATTTATAGGAAAGGACAAAAGTCTTCCTGTGGCAATCACAGGAGAATCAGTCTGACTAATATAGTTTCTAAATTGATAACCTCGACTACACATAGACGCCTAACTAGATTTCGTGAAGAGCAGACTAGAGAAAACAAGGCTGGATTTCGACCTGGACGTGTCTGTATAGACCACATCTTCACACTACGACAGGTCCTGGGACAGAGACACATATTTAGGCGTCATACAATAGTTGTTTTCCTGGATCTCAAAGCGGTATTTGACACTGTGGATCATGAGGTCTTGTGACAGTGTCTGTCGTTAACAGGTGCACCAAAGAATTACACTAACCTCATAAAAGCTCTCTACTCGAACATCACTGGTAGAGTGAGAGCCTATGTCTATCCGTCATCGGAATTCATTACTTCAAGTGGTGTACGTAAGTCATAACCACTCTCCAAATTCGTGTTCAATTTTGTCATAGATATGCTTCTAGATATAACATTATCTTCGTGTGAATTTTCAGAAGTAAACCTTCTACCAGGAAGCTCGCCTATTGACTTAGACTATACCGATGACATATTTCTATTCGGTGAAGACGCTGACAAAATGTAGAGTCTTCTGACTACCCTGAGCAACAATGCAAGCATGATCTGGATGCAGTTTTCCCCCTCGAATTTCAAACTGTTGCATCGAGGTTGGGTTTCATCA